ACATTATAGGCAGAATAGTATTACCACCAAAGACTAGACAGTCCGGGATGACGATTTCTAGCTTATTGATCGTCTTCAGTCAGCCTACCCAACTTCAGGTTTTTTGATCCTGGAGACTCGACCCTTCGACCTGTTAGAGCGTTCGACTTCTAACCAAATGGTTGCGGGTTCGAGCCTCAGACGCAACAAAGCCTTCAGTTTGGTATGATTGGCTGGTGACAGCTAATGATGCTTCCTATCTCCCCTGTCTTTATGGGTTAAGTTATTCTCACGCCAGAATGCACTTCACTGCTACTATTTGTGACATCCTCGTTGATGAATATTCACCGATCATGACATCTTCCTTGACCAGGACACTATTCTGATTTCACTTCGTCGTACCATCAGCATGATGCCCTCTCCTTATGTCAACTGCTAGTTAACTTATTGTCAGTCTGATGCAGAGCGTGGTATCCAGAGTTACACTCTCAGTGTGTGCCGCATAGGACTTCCCAGGCACGAGACTAGTCTAGATTTGCCTGTGCACACTCCGCCAATGACTCAGTGCACCACAGGTTAGCTCTGGCTCCGTTGTCAGGGCCACGTGCTCGGTACGCGTCTCTAAGGGTTGTCTGTTCCGGCAGAACTTTTTTTTCACAGCTTAGGGTTGCATCGAACTGCTCCGGTCTGCACTGAGAAAACAGGACTCTTTCCACATATTGGCGCTCGCCGCTGCCAGGCGTGATGCCTGGCGACTTCGAGTGTTGCTCCCCTTGGAGATGGTGATTAGCTGTGCTCTTCCGTCCTTCTATCATGCCGCTCAAGGCAACATGATTGCATCAGTTTGTGGGGCCTACAACGTCGTAAAATGTTTAGTCATTGTGATTTCTCAAGCCAAGAAATCAACAGCTAGGCCATATCCACCTACCGTTCAGGGATATCTTGCCGGTGCATCTCTCGTCTTATTTTAAATTACTTAACCTTTGTTCCCTGGGCGCACTATTTATCAGTGTTTTTGAGCTGAGCGTTCAGTTATGCTGATCGACCCTCCTAATCTGACTAGTATTGCCAGCCAGCGGCACAGGAAATCGGGCTGGCCGTTTCTAAAGTATTGATATCGTCAGCCAATCACATGTCAACTCGGGCGGAAAAATGGGGGTTTTAACCTAAACTCTGTGGTCACAGAACCTTTTGTCAATCAACATTCCGTCGAGCCACGGTCCTACGCCCGTCACAACCGCTTCTGTAGGTCCTAGGCCGCAGGTGAAATGTCTTCGTCCTAAAATCACGAGAGCTCGATTAAGGTGTTCAAATCTAACTAATCCTTCCTCTCCTGCTCTCGATTGCCGTAGCGTTTGGTGTATGGCCCTCGGATTTCAGCCTTCATTGACCTTGCTTCTAAACTAGCCTACCAAAGTAAGTCTGACCGGTGTACAGGCGCCTTGTCGACCAATGGACGTCTGTGTGAATCCACTCTACTTGCGCTCGTCATTCACTTCATCATAATCACCCTCTCCTTCACCAAATTCAGGTGTCTACGAATAAATCCCAAGGGCCTGGACGAGGAGAGTCGGGAGTACCTCTCACTTTATCTCCTGCT